TGTAATGTTGGCTTCTCTACCCGCATGTGTAATGTTGGCTTCTTTCCTCATGTGGCTGTCTGCAGAAGGAGGAGGTCGTGAAGGAGCACCAGCTAGAGAAGGTCGACGAATCGGTAGACGTTGACATCGAGATGGGGGATGCTGAGCGTGCGACTGCGGAAGCTGAGGAGAAGCCAGTCGTGGAGGATGCTGCTGCCGCGGAGACGGAGACCCCGAAGGAAGAGCCACCGCCGACGCCCGTGGCGGCCGAGGAAGAGGGGGAGAGGGAGAAGGTGGCTGAGAGCGCTCCCGAGAAGACGGTGGAGAAGCCAGCGGAGAGTGGCGACAAGGGAGGAGGAGCCGAGAAGGAGAATGAGGAGGAGGAGGAGTGGGAGGAGGTCGAGGAATTCTTCATCAAGTACAAGAACTTGTGAGTACATCGGTGGCGCGACATCTGTCATCGGTCATGTGAAGAGTGCGCATGCGTGCATGCGTGCATGTGCACGTGTGCGTGTACGCAGAGATGCCAACAACTACGATTTATCCGTATTTTATACGAATTTCTATTCTTTTTGCACCACTACGACCAGTTTGTATCAAACTACGAATTTCACTGTGATAGAAAAGAAATCAAATAATTCAATCAAAAATAGAATCAAAAATTTTTCCGGGGGGCATGCCGGACCCCCTAGCAAACTAGGGTCACTACTAATTTGAAGGCCAGAAACTACAGATTGCCTCAAATATGTGTTGGCATCTCTGGTGTACGTGTGCGCGTGTGCACGTGTGTGTGTGTGCGTGCATGCGTGTGTGCGTGCGTGTGTGTTTAGTAGTGTTACCCATGTTTTAGCTCGTACATAATCTAGTGTTACCTATGTTTTAGCTCGTATCTAATCTAGTGTTACCTATGTTTCAGCTCGTATCTAATCTAGTGTTACCTATGTTTTAGCTCGTATCTAATCTAGTGTTACCTATGTTTTAGCTTGTATCTAATCTAGTGTTACCTATGTTTCAGCTCGTATCTAATCTAGTGTTACCTATGTTTTAGCTCGTATCTAATCTAGTGTTACCTATGTTTTAGCTCGTATCTAATCTAGTGTTACCTATGTTTTAGCTTGTATCTAATCTAGTGTTACCTATGTTTTAGCTTGTATCTAATCTAGTGTTACCTATGTTTTAGCTCGTATCTAATCTAGTGTTACCTATGTTTCAGCTTGTATCTAATCTAGTGTTACCTATGTTTCAGCTTGTATCTAATCTAGTGTTACCTGTGTTTCAGTTCGTACCTGCATTGTGAGTGGGCAGCTGAGGACCAGCTTAGAGACAAAAGGATTGTGACGAAGATTAAACGCTTCAAACAAAAGCAGCAACAGAATCCGCAATCTTTTTACGACGTAAGTTCAGCGTGCAGAGCAGCAGACTTTCTCGGGGTGTGTGTAGGAGGAAGCTGGGCCGATGATGCTGCGGCATAATACATTACACAATTCAGCGTTGACTTTGGGGTGTAGATGTACGATTAGGTTATTATTATTAATATTATTATTATTATATTATTATTATTATTGTTATTGTTATTATTATTATTATTATATTATTATTACTATTATTGTTATTGTGATTGTGATTATTATTTCCAAAGTAGATCACGGCATTAGCCGGTTATGATGATGATGATGATGATGATGATGATGATGATGATGATGACGATTATTATTATTATTATTAGTAGTAGTAGTAGTAGTGGTAGTGGTAGTGGTAGTGGTAGTGGTAGTGGTAGTGGTAGTGGTAGTGGTAGTGGTAGTAGTAATATTAAATTATTATTGCTGTTGTTGTTGTTGTTGTTGTTGTTGTTGTGAAATTAGAAGATAAACTACATGATTTAGCTATGTAGGGGGTGTAGATTGGTTGCTCTCGAAGCAGTTCTGAATACATTCTGATCTCCCTCCGTCATTGTTTCTATTAGATGGAAGATGAACCATTCAACCCGGAGTACGTGGTTGTGGACAGAGTACTGGACGAGTCCATCACTCCGGACCCGATCACAGGCATCCCCGTCACGTACTATCTAGGTGAGTAACGACACTCGCTAATTGTAACCCACTCCTCTCCGTATGCGTGCGGTGGGGGTGGTGGGGGGGGGTCGCGTGTAGCCAGGAGCGGTGGCGGTACAGCGCGCGAAGCAATCAATATTCGCATGATTACCTCCGCAACAGACGCGTTTGCAAAGTCGGCCCCTCTCGGTTTTTATTTCCGTTTTATCTCGCGACGCCGCCGCTGCAGCCGCCGTTGCAACGTTTATTGACCGGGTTTCTGAGATTTTTGCGTTGTTTTGCGCGTCTACAGGGTTCGTAGCGGGTCTTCCAAAGTCTTATAAGTACTTATTTTGCCAAAAATAAAATAAGGGCCCTTATTAGTACTTATTTTTGGTGAAATCTTAGAAAAGTACTTAATAGTCCTTATTTTTTTAATTGTTTTATAAACTGTTCTCGACTTAGAGTAAGAATTGTTGTATATATATTATAATACGGAATAATTAAATCTGCTGTGCAATTGTGTATATAAATATTATTAGTGTACTTTAATAGTCGGTGATCTATCAGAAATTGCGTAAAAAAGTCTTATTTTGGCCTCCAGAAAGGGTCTTATAAGTCCTTATTTCAACATGTGTCTTACTACTATGAACCCTGGCTCTACAGTGAAGTGGTCCTCGCTACCGTACGAAGACAGCACGTGGGAACTCGCGGAAGACGTGGACATACCGAAGATCGAGCAGTTCAAGAAGTTCCGCGAGATGCCGGCGGAGGAGTATCAGAAGGTATCGTCGGTGGCAATGTTGCGTCGCGCTGTAGCCGGGCAACGTTGCGTCGCGCTGCGGCGCAGCAACGCAGCGTCTCGCTGTAGCGGGGCAACGTTGCGTCGCGCTGTAGCGCGGCAACGTTGCGTCGCGCTGTAGCGGGGCAACGTTGCATCGCGCTGTAGCGGGGCAACACTCGATGGCGTCTATGCAGCGCTTGAGTTTCACCACCATGCCACCGACGGCACAGTGGTGTCCCTGCTTACACGCTGCCATAGTGTCCCTATCCAATCTAAAATCTAATCCTAATATTTAATATCGGTCTAATATCTAATCTTATAGTTAGCTAATAACCACGGCAATGTGTCGTCGTGGCTGCCCTACCTAATATATATACTGTATACTGATCATACACTATGTTTGTCCAATACAAAACCTAAACATAATAATACTTTAGTATTGTTAAAGTGATTACGTCACCGTAAATACTAAAAGAAACGTTTCCACTTTTTCACAAAATATAAGTAATTCTGTTAACTTTTTATGGTTAATTATACTTATTATTTTACTATATTGTTCGATGTGAACATACACTCGTGACTCATACATAGCCCATAGCAAGCAATTAATGTCAGGAACACTAATATC